CGTGAAAGGCGACATGGCGGATGGATTCGTGAAGGACTGCCTGTTCGTCTATGAGAAGTTGCTCGTGGACACAACCTGCAACGAGGTGCTGGACAAGTTGGAGAGCAAGTATGGCTTGGAGTCGCCATTGAACTCCCTTCAGAAACTTCGGGCGCTGATTGAAAAAAGCGAGAACATGGAGACCAGGCCGGGGAACAGCGCTGCCATCGGACTTTCTGAATCTGCGCAATTGCTTTTATTTTTGCTTTGCGACCATCTATTGAGGCAATGGATTCTGAAAGTGATTTGCGACATGGTGGAGGGAGGAGGGCTTGAGCGCAAGACCATCACCAAGACCTACCTCGCTGGGACGCCCACAGCCGCATCGCTGGTCGAGCTGTTGAAGCTGAAGCGAACTGTGGCGCATCACTTTTTGCAGGCAAGAGAAAAGTGGCCTGAGAGCGAGTTGTCCATCAACAAACACTTGTTGAACACGGCCCTCTTCAGTCTTGGCAAGTAAACTAACTTATCAACATGGATCTGTGGTTCAAGTTTATTGTGTTCAATGGCTGCTAGGCTTCTGAAAAAATGCGTGGTGTTAGGCATTGCATTGATGGACTCAGGTGGAGATGCCACGCAGCCAGTTCGACACTCAGGACCTTGCCAAGATCCACTCGAAGATCATGACGATTTGCAGCTACCGGAAATACGTGACCGCTGCTAACCTTGAAGGTCCATCTGAAGTTCAATGGATGTCTTCGTTGAAGCGCTCCAGCATGCTTGTGCTGAGGTTGATCGAGGTGGGGGGGGCAATGCAATCTTAAAAGCATTATTGGCAATGGCCCTTGGCGCGAAGGACATCCTGCACACGACGACGCTCAACGGCCCCTTGATTGCTCTTCTGAAGAAAGGAAAGGGAGCCAACCCGCTTGAGCTGCTCGAGATCGAGACGTTCAGTCTACGATGGAAGGCTTGCGTGGCAGCAAAAGACAATGAACTAGCTGCAGAGAAAGCGCTCTACAAGGCGGCCGAGGAGGAGCAGGACGAGCAGGACGAGTGCACGAAGATCGCGCAGGGCAGCGTGGCTCCGCAGCCTTCAAAGTACCCCAAGGGCTCGGCTGAGTGCCTTGGAGAGAATTGAATTTGACGTTGCTTCGCTCGTGCGAGCGTGCGCCATTGTTGCGGCAATGCATGAGCAGTCAACGAAGGCATTGGACAGCGACGGCAGCGCACAGGTTGCGATCTATGTGTCGTTGCGGGCCGAGCCTCCAACCCAGTCTGCCGTTGCCCGGGCCGTAGGGGATAGCGGCCTGAATGGCGACCTCCGCGGCGTGCAGGGCAAGAGCGGTGTCATGATCCACTTTGACGCCAACCTGTTTGCAGAGGCCGCCAAAAGGCCTGACCGAAGGTTTCCGCCACTGAGCCCAGCCCTCATGAAAAAGTTGATCCACGGCAGCATCAAGGGCCGCGGCGGCCTGGCGAACAAGAAGGTGGCAGAGGATCACTTCGACCGTCCAATTGACGGAGACTTCATTTTCTTGAACGATGCTGGGCGGAACGTGCTGGAGAGCCTCTTGGCGCCGTTCAAGTCGAAGGATGGCAAGGGGGCCTTGGCGCACTACCTGGAGCACACGGAGATCACGCTGTGCCTCAGCCAGGACGACGATGTCCGTTTCAAAATTCGATTGTGTACTTATAAATTCGTCAAATTTGAAAGCTTTGGTCTTCGCTTTCATCGGTTTTACTTGTCTTTCAATCCTGTCGAGGAGTCAATGGAAGGAAAGAAGAAACTGAACCGCGGCATGATCAACCAGATTCAGCGCTGGCACGTGATCAGCACCGAGCCCATGTCCACTTGGCTGCCAGAACGCAAACACACCAAATTCCCCGGCTCCAACCGAGGGAATTGCATCGGCTGGATTGGTTTGGGCAGCGCTTCGGATGAGTGGACTTTAACTGTGAACAATAAGCAGCCCGACTCAAATTTAATCGTGCCTTTAATAGTAGCATGTTTGGGGGCCTCAATCATATGTGTCGCCCGATTTGTCAGGAAAGAGATGTACGGAGACAAGATGATGGGCGCAGATTCTGCCGAGGACCCAAAGGAGAATGAAGAACAGCGGCGAGACGGTGACTCTTATGAGCCTGCCTTCTTCAACCACTTGCCGGTGACGCTGTACTCAGACGCCCTGGCCGCGTACGAGATCACAGGCGTGCTGGATTGCACGCCAGGCGCAGGAGATCTGGCCAAGGCGGCCTTGCTGCGGAGGATTCCTTACATGGCCCTGACCATGACAGAGACTCACGCTTCGCTTCTCCAGAGTGAGCTGGTCAAGTTTGTCAAGCAACAGATGCAGACAGAAGGGTCTACGTTCTACGCGCCTGAGTGGGCGGCAGCTGGCAAGAAGGATGCGGAAGCCGAAAAGGGCAAGAAGACGCCAAAGCGGCCGACGCCCGCCCCCGGAGATCCGGCGCCTGAGCCGGAGCCTAAGAAGCCAAAGACGACGAATAAGAAGACGGGGAAGGCGGAGAAGAAGCAGAAGAAGGAAAAACCGACTGGCAACGCGCCGCCGGCCTCCCAGCTGATTGACGATTCTGAATCAGACTCGGCCAGTCAGTGAGCATACTAGGCTAGGCCGCAGCAATCCTGGCTGCTTTTTGTTCAAGACGCTTAGGCCCAGACTTCCGCGGCGGATCAACTATCAAATATGTTTTCTTCGGCGGCGCAACGTCGTGGGTGAAACACCGTCCTTGCGCCGGGCCTTACTAGGGTCTTGTGTCCCTGCGAGGCCCGGCTAGGGGACGGCGTCGGTGTTTTGAACTATTGAAACTTACTGCTGGCTTTGCTCAAGTTAAGCAGAGGCATCAATGTAAATTGGAAGCTGCTGAGCTGAAGACTGGGCGAAAGGACACCTTATTAGGGCTTTGAGTGACTGGATTGACCTTCAATCTGAATCACAATGACGAGCGACACAAACTTCAGAGCGGTGTAAAATAATGTGACTGCAGCGCCTAGGCTTAGGTTTCCGCAACTGAGTGGTGACGAGGACATTTAATCCCCCCTGCGAGTGCCTCGTCATTGTCATTGCTCATGTTTTGTCTTTCTTGCCGGGCGGCTTGTTCTGAAAATTGTTGCAGATCAGTACATGCTCAAGAGAAGCGGCATGTCAATCAATTAGGCAAGATGGACCTCGATTTTGCCATGGCTTCAGAGCCCGCGAAAGAGAAGAACGGCAGAAAGAGACACAAAGACCAGAAGGCATGCGGGCACAAAGGCGACGCCAAGAAGGTCTTGAAGACGGCTAAGACCAAGACGAAAACCAAGGAAGCAACGCCTACGCAAGCAGCTGCCAAGACTTCGAAGAAGCGGCCAGCCGGCGACCTTACGAACAGTGACCAAAGGATCCTTGCTTTCAATCAGAGTCTGTCAGCAGTGATGCCTGTCAAGGCTTGACTGAACGAGCTGCGTTTTTGCGAGCTAAGGAAGTTTGCTGAAGCCCTGATTGAGCAGCTTGAGAAGAAAGCCGCAAACAGTCGCCTTGGCCGCGAAACTGGGCCTGGAGAAAGGGCTGCGGCTCCGTCTGTGGTCCGACTTGGGTCTGACTGCTCGGGTTTGTCCTCCGACTTTGTCAGCGCTTCAAGCTGGCCTTCGGCCAGTCAATTCGGGTGAGCACTGCTTTCATTTCGGCCGCCTGCTTGCATTGCGGCACTCCGTTTTGTCAAAATTGTTGCTGGGCTGGAACCTTGAGCCAAGGACATCGACCCCGCCAGGAGGAAAATGGCCTTGCAGATGCACGCGCATTTTGGAGATACGCCAGTTCCTCATCTCATTTAGATTTAGACGAAAGTTTTTGTGTTTTCTGCTTGCTTAAATCCAATAGCAAGTTCGAAATTCAGGAAAAGGTGTACGATGACATCACCTCGCGGGACAACTCCAGCGCTCCGGCCTGTGACCTTTACGTCAGCGGAGCTCCTTGCCCAGCATTTTCAAGCGCTGGTCGCCAGCAGTCGCTAGGAGATGTTCGGGGCTGCGTTTTGATACACAGCCTCGATTACGTCGTGGAAAAGAGGCCACGGCTCGCAGTGTTTGAAAATGTGCGGGGGCTTAGCGGCCCGAAATGCAAAGCGGTGCTGGATGCGGTGGTGAAGATTCTGCGCCTCTGCAATTACTCCGTACGGGCCCAGGTCCTCGACACGAAGGTCCATGGGGGAATCCCGCACAGCAGGCCAAGGCTGTACCTCGTGGCCGTCTCAAAGGCATGGGCAGTGAAAGAGGAGATGCGGCGTGTCTTTCCTGATCCTATCACTTGCCCTTCGCTCAGCCGCTTCATCATCAACAACGTGCAGCAGAAGCGGGATGTCACAGACTTGGCCCTGAAGAACATCAAAGCTGCCAAGGCATTTGCTGAAGCGAAGGGCTGGGATGTGAAGAGGCAGATCGTGTGCGACGGTGGGGCCACAGAAATGTTTCGGTGTGTCATGCTGGAGTGCAGCCCATGCTTGACAAAAGTCCAGGGCATCGTCAAATGGACATTTCCTAGTGACGCTGAATCGATGGATGAACATCTGGGAAATGGCTGCGCTGCAGGGATGGCCAAAAGTGCTGGTGGATGAGGTCCTGCAGTCGTTTCCTGCCAGACAAATGGGCGCAACCATTGGCGACGGAATGCTGAGCATTTTGCAGCGGATGCTTCCTCGGGCGATGCTGGCCTCCCAGCTCATCAGTAAGCTTCCACATGACATTTGGGCTGATTCCGCCAAGGTGAAAGGCCATTTGCCAGATGCAGTGTACGGTTTGGTTTCACCCGGACATGAACAAGGCGCTCTGTGGCGATGATGCCGCACGCCGCCCAATGATGTAATTTGAAATACTAAATTCAGTAGGCGGCTGCTCTGGCAAGGGATGACCCGCAGCATGTCGCTTGGCCGAAAACGCGCGATGTCTAGCTTGGATTTGTCCAATGAGCTTGTGGACTTGCTTGCCCCTCCGGCGCCTATTAGCATTGTCGCTTTGAATCCGCCGTGTCATTTGCGCGACTTTGCGGGCTCTTAGCAAAGACCAGGGCGCTACCGACCATCGTCTAAGCCAATACGGCCCTGTGAAAATAGTTTTACGCAAATTATTATAGGTTCCTTTTCAAGCTCGAAGTGTTGAGAATCTAACCTTTGTAACAGCTTGCCCCCACTCAGAATCACGAAGCAATGTCGTTGTCTCCACTGGCGGGGAGACTCAGATACCCGTTGACGACCATTTGGAAAGGCGAAGTCTGCGCCGCAGCGGAGACCCAGTTTGAGCTTCCAGAGGAAACTTGGCGACATTAAATTGTTTGTCTCAGACTTAGGATGCCGTCAGTTTAAAATAAAGGTGTTGGTCTGCGATCCGCTCTCGTGCAACCAAGGACATTGACATGGAGGCGATCGAGCCGAACACTGAGTCCGCAGCCTTGGCCGAGTGGGCGCGCATCTTCCTTTGCTTCTGGCCAGCGGCAGCAATATTCAGCTACCACGAGGTGGAGACTTACAAGGTGGAAATGTTCATTGTCAATGCTGCTGTTGCGGGCGATGACAAGGTCCTCATTCTGAGGGTGAAGCACTTAAAAGGCGAGCACGAAGGCAAAAATCAAGCCATCGTTTTGGGAAGGCAGTGACATGGACCGTGCCACAGCAGCGCGCAGAAAATTGCAAAACCGGAGCGGCTGCCAGCTTGCGAGTCGTTCGACGGACTGCCGTGCAACTCAGGGCTTGGTGAAACACGCTGCTTCCAGGCATGTTTGTTGAACTGACGATGTGTGTTGCTCATGTCATTCATTTGCTTCCGATCTTCAACTATAAGACTATCAACGGAGTTAAACTCGGTGGCCCTGAGTCGCCCGATGCAGGTCGGGTGATTCAGGACTTCCGATGACTTGCCGCCCAACCTCAGTGTTGACTTCAATTGTCAATCAATGAAGTCAAGTTGGCTTGGAGCTGAAGATGGGTCACTTGCAGTCACTGGGGCTCAGTGGCACTGAGTCGCCCGGTTGCAGTCGGGCGACTCAGGGCCGCAGAGCCCCGCTGCCTTATTTTTGGACGAGTCAGTGTCAGTCAACGGGACTTGGCCTTTATTTCGCAAGTTGCTTGAGGCGTTCTGGAGCTGACAATTGCCGTTCAGCAGGCGCTAGTATGTGTTTAATTTAACGTCTTTGGTTGAACAACCTGGCATGGGCATCATTGGACCCTACTTGCTTTAAACTCATTTGTTGTTTCCATTTAAGTATGGCGAAGCACTTTTTCCCCATGGAAAACATTTTTGAGGAATCCCCCTGCGCCGGGTCACCCAGCAGTAGTGTGGCAGCAACGCAACGCCCCCGAAATGCTGGGGCGTGCAAGCGCGAGGCGATGAAGGCGGCAAGGCTGCGGGACAGTAAAAGTTGTCAATTTGTTCTGCAAGTGTTTCATTTCACAAAGGGCTCATCGGCGGTGGCTTAAAGCTTTAGTCTATTTTCGCATAGATTCGTCGGCTGCGCTGCGGTCAACCAAGGCTAATTTCGGAAAGGCCCGTCGACATTCGCGTTCGAGTTGGCAATGACCGCAGCGTCGCTGCCCGCAGCAGTTGGGTCTCGAGCAGGGACCAGCTCAATGGACGGGCAGGCAGAGCCATGGTGGCCGTTGGTGCTCGAGATTGCCATCGGCATTGTCATCTATGAAGTCTTGAAATGGCTGTTGCGATGCCTGCTGCAGAAGGCTGGCGACATGATCAGCAGCCTACCAGCACCGCCGTTGACACCCCCAGCAGACGCTTTGTCAAAGAACCGGTTTCTTTTAGGTGGGTGGTGGCTAAGGCCGCCCAGCTCAGCTGAGAGTTGGGCGTGTTGCCTCTTTGCGTTTGGAAGGCCCTCAAGATTTCATCCTCAATGGCATCAGATTTTCCTGTGGTCAACATTGGCCGTACGCCAAGCATTGAGCCTGAAAATTGTCATTCAAGGGTCTTTCGAGTAACGTCCCAGCTGTTATGTGCATTTGCGCCTATGTTGCAATTTGGGTTGACATTGACTTGCTTGGCCACGAAATGCCACGAAGTAAGGTCACGAGTGGGCTTAGGCAGGTGTAATAAGGTTGGCCCAAGTCCGCCCGCTAACCTGAGACTCTGCCACCCAGGACAGCAGGTGCCAATGCTGCGGCGAGATCACTGGGCCTTCAACGCGGTCCGCGACAAGCGCGTTCATCCAAGAGAACAAGAACGACCAGAAGAGACGTGACAGTGAGCGTCGTGGCGGAAAGCCGCTGTCGCGCTGGAACCAGTTTCAGAAAAACAACCAAGGCAAACACTGGTCTTCAGACAAGATGAGGGCTGAGTATTACCGGCAGCAGCTCATGTCTAGCACAAAGCCTGGCAAATAATTAGATGGCTCGCCTTGTCAACCTTCAGGCGTCGCGCGAAAAAGGGGACGCGGCGGCGGCTTGGGCGGGTTGAAGGCCATGGGCTCGATGGCATCTTAACCAATTAACGCCCCTGCATGTTTTAGGTAATTTCCCCCCATTTTATTTAACTGTTTGACTGCACTTAATGACAATGATTGTTGGAAAACTGTTGAAAGGTAATTTTAAGTGTTCAAGATGCATCAGTATGAAGGTCATGCGA